TCTCTCTCTCTCTCTCTCTCTCTCTCTCTCTCTCTCTCTCTCTCTCTCTCTCTCTCTCTTCCCGGTGAGGCGTGTCCTTCTCTCTTCCCCCCCCCTCTCTCTCTCTCTCTCTCTCTCTCTCTCTCTCTCTCTGTGTATGTCTGCCTGTCTGTCTTCCCGTCTGTTTCTCACTATCTGGTCTCTCTCTCTCTCTCTCTCTCTGTATGTCTGCCTGTCTGTCTTCCCGTCTGTTTCTCTCTATCTGGTTTCTCTCTCTCTCTTCTCTCTCCCCGTTTTCTCTCTTTCTCCTCCACTTTCCCTCCCTTTGCCACGTTCTTCTTTTATCCCCGTTCCGGTGACGTTCTTCCCAGATTGTCCAGCCTGCCTCCCCCCTCGTCCCTCCCTTCCCTCCTGCCCTTCTTTCTCTCTCTCTCTCTCTCTGCCTCTCTCTGTCTCTCTCGTTTGCTGTATTCTTTTTGTTTTGTCTTTGCGGTTCTGTATGTTCCTCGTTGCTCTGTGCCGATCCCAGAAGCCTTGATTAGCTCGGATTTTCTCTCCTTGGTTTCTCCCAACATCTGCTGTGGCCTGCCTGACAAAAACGATAGGGGGAAGCATCTTCATCTTCGCTGCGCTGTAAGATCTCTCTCTCTCTCTCTTTTTTTTTTTTTTTTTTTAACACACGCAACATCCGCTCGCTGTGCTGCCGGCGGTGATACGACGATCCATCCCCCGATAGCAGTCCCTCGGATGGCTCCTGTGTATTGTTGGGCCTAAGCGGGGAGCTTCTTTGCCTGCAGGAAAACGGGGCCAGCGTCCCATGGAAGATCTCAATCTCATAAAGTGACGTCGCTGGATTAGAGTGGGAAGAAATGGATAAGGATTGGATTAAATTGCAGATATGGAAATTTGTAAAATACTTTTTGAAAATTGTAAAATACTTTATTAAAACTGGATATCGTCGAAAAAAAGGCAATGTGGATGTCGTCGAAAAAATGGCAAGGGAGTGGATGTCTCACCCTTCTGTTTCCTCTCCGTGCGGTTTTTTTTTTTTTTTTTTTCCTTTTTTTTAAAGCTGAAAAGGTAGTCCATTTATTCGGGCCTGTGTGTGTGGATGTGTTTGTTAAAACATGAGACTTACAAAAGAACAGCCAATAAATAAAAAAATGGATTTAAAAAACACAAAAGAAACCCTTTTTATTCGGAAAACGGGAAAAGAAAAATAAGCAACAGAAACGAGAGTTGAACTCTCTCCCTCGGTCCACCCTTTTTTTTTTTTTTTTTTTTTTTAACGAAGCGTTGAACTTCATTGGAAGGGGGGAAGTTTTTTATTATTTTTGTTGCGCAGCGGAGGAAAACCGTGTGCTGCGCGCCGATGATCTGCTCATCTGATGGATCTGCGATCCCGATGTGAACACGTGTCACATATCCGGTTCGCTATTTGAGTTTGTCGGGTCTGTATATTGCAGACGCTGCAGGTTGGATTGAACCCTTATTACTCTATTATTTTATTTTACTTCATTTAAGTTAAGGAGAAAATTGAACCCTTATTATTAGTATTTTTCCGCCGTTCAAAATCTGGAAATTCAGTATTTGAAAAGCTGCCAGCGCTCGAGGGGTTCAGAGATATCATCGATCAGCGAATGTGATTTATCCGTGAGTTTTTTTTTTTTTTTTTTTTTTAATAAATTTGTTTACAATCGAAACTTCGAAAGTCGATAGGGCAGAAATTTGAACGGAACAAAAATGAAAAAGGAAAGTTCAACGGGAGCATCGCCGGCTCGAAGGCCATGCGATTCATATACTAGTATGTTTCCTTGAAACTGCTGATTTTATGTCTTTTTATTTTTTAGTTTTTTTGATTTAATTCAGCAACATGGCGAAGGACGCGGACATAAGAGCAATCCTCAAGAACGCATTCAAACAGAATTGACAGCATAAAAAAGAAGGGGCCAACTGCACAGACAGTGAATTCATACCCCAAAATTCACAAGGAGTTGAGCCCCTCCACGCACACTGAGGGTAGGTAAGTTAACACCATTATAGCTACAGCTATGGCGTCACCATCCTGCCATAGCCATAGCCATCCTGCCATAGCTGTAGCTTCATCCTGCCATAGCCATAGCTAAAGCTGCAGCTATGGTGTTAGTGACACTCAGTACTGGCTATGGTGACGCCATAGCTATGGCGTCACCATCCTGCCATAGCCATAGCTACAGCTACAGCTACGGTGTTAGTGACACTCAGTATTGGCTATGGTGAAGCCATAGCTATGGCGTCACCATCCTGCCATAGCCATAGCTACAGCTACAGCTACGGTGTTAGTGACACTCAGTATTGGCTATGGTGAAGCCAGAGCTATGGCGTCACCATCCTGCCATAGCCATAGCTAAAGCTACAGCTGTGGTGTTAGTGACACTCAGTATTGGCTGTGGTGACGCCATGGCTATGGCGTCACCATCCTGCCATAGCCATAGCTAAAGCTACAGCTATGGTGTTAGTGACACTCAGTATTAGCTATTGTGACGCCATGGCTATGGCGTCACCATCCTGCCCTAGCCAGATGACGATTGGAAGTTACATGAACGCACAGGAGCCTCAGGAGGGCGATGAGGGTACTCAATCGGTTTCGGCCGCTGCCAGAACACAGGGCCTCATCTGGGGGGTAAACTCCTTCGAACGCCCCCTTCCGCCGGACTATTTTTTTTTTTTTGTTTTAATTGATAATATGTCCGAATTTATCTCAATGTTCACGCCTAACACATCATGCACAGTTGTCTCACCATCATTTTTTTTTTTATTTTTTATTTTTTTGTGGAAGCAATATGCCGGTATTTCACTCTCTGTAGAATCTGTAGATAGTAAACGGCAAATCTTCTAACGGGGACACGTCAACTTGAAGTTCACGACTTTCTTTTTTTTTTTTTTTTTTTTTGCCCCCCCCCCCCCCCCCCCCCCCCCCCCGGCCAAACAGCTTCCCGTTGCGCACCCATTGGTACACTCCCTTTTCCGTCCCGTTGCAGCTCTGATCGAAGATCGAAAACCCCATTGGTACACTCCCTTTTCCGTCCTGCAGTTGCAGTTCTCTCCTCCCGCCCTCCTTTCTCCGTCCTTAACCTCTCCAACTGATAGCGTAACGGAACGGAACGGAACCGTTACGGTGGAGGTAAACAGAACAACAGAGGACAGAGAGGAAAGTACAGTCTGCTACTTTTAGTCCTTGTCGGTTATTCTTAGCGGATCAATGGACGGTTCAAAACTCGTTGTGGAGGATAAGGTTGATGACGTGTCAATTTAGTCAATTAGCAAGTATAGTATAATTGACTAAATTGACACGTCATCAACCTTATCCTCCACAACGAGTTTTGAACCGTCCATTGATCCGCTAAGAATAATCGACAAGGACTAAAAGTAGCAGACTGAAGATGCATGTTTTTGGGGGGTGGGGGGTGGGAGGGAGGGGACAGAGCAGGAGTCTGGTTGGTAGATGATTAAGCCGCCGAAGTGGTCACTACTATCTGTCGCATATCAGATCACCCCACTGTTTACCCTCTCTCCCTCCTTTTCTCCTCCTCTCCCTCCTCTGTCCTCCCTCACCACTTTGGGCCACCACCCCCGCCCTACCCTGGCTATACCCTTTTCAATTCGCCACCCNCCCCCCCCCCCCCCCCCCCCCCCCCCGCCCCCTTTTACCTCAATGTGCTTACCTCCTCTCTCTCTCTCGACGTGACACGGCAGCACAGTAGCTGAACGATGTCTTCAAGTTCGTGAATCGGTGGTCAAAAGATCGAATCCCTCGGGGAGCAAATGCACCATGAGGGTTTTTTTGCGCCTCGTACTTGACAGGGGAAAAAGCACTCCCGGGCCGAACTCAGCGATCGCCGACAGATTTGAAAGTAGGGTAGGCTGACGTGGCGGACGCCACGCGTTGCCTGGTCGATCTTCAATTCGTTGCTGATAAACAAATATGCGCTTCTATCCCCGCATCCCTTTCTCTTCTCTGTCCCTCTATCTCTGTGTGTGTGTGTGCGCGCGCGCGCGCGCGCGCGCGCGTGTGTGTGTGTGTGTGTGTGTGTGAGAGAGAGAGAGAGAGTAGTTAAAGATTGCTGAACTGACGAGAGAGAGAGAGAGAGTATCTAGGAAAGATGCCTACTGCATTTTCGTGTGTTCTCTCCATGTACCTCTCTATGTTCGTTTTTCTTCTGGATTTTTTATTTTTTTTTGGAACTGATTAGGAAAGATTAACAAACGAGCGTATACGGATGTTAATGACTTGTTGGCAGTTATCGCGAAAAAAAAAAAAAGTTGAAATCTTCTCTCAGGAAAAATGAGAGGTTTTCTTCATCAGAGTTAATGTGATTTCAGAAATGTGATTTTAGAAATTATATACATGATTTCTTATATGTACACTTTTTTAATAATCATATGAGATATTAAATCCTTAAAATAATCGTATTAATTAATCAGGCACTATGTCACTGTGGTGCCCTAGCGCACCACTTCTCCCCTGTGCGAGTGTTTTTTTTTTTTTTTTTTTCACCTCTTTCGTTTCCTTCTTTTCTGTCTGTCTTTTTCCTTCCCTCTGACAGTCTATCTTTTTTTGTACTTCTTAAAAACCAAATTCTTTTTCATTTTGGGCCAACCTTTCGGAGAATACGTTGCCCGAGAAGCACACAAAAATTGGTTTCATAACCAATTTATGAGATTTTTTTCTTCTTTTCCGTAGCCAAAAAAAATCTTCTTTTTTACACCAGATTCATTGAGAAATTGAGATTTTTTTCTTCTTTTTTACGTGGCCAAAAAAAATCTCAATTTCTCAATGAATCTGGTGTAAAATAGAGCCATATTCCGTCCAAGAGTCTCAGTTTGAGTATATATGCGTGACGTCCATCGCACTTCTTCCCTTCCGATCCCGACGTTCAATCTCCTACGGCCAGAAACGGAGTATCTAGCCGTGTTTAGAACTGAACAAAATAAAGTAAAATAATAAAAAAGCAGTATTTTTAGCCTTCCCGGAAAAAGAAAAGAAAAAAGACGAAAAAAAAAAAAAAAAGTACGTGTGCCTTGTCGTGATCTCTCCCTTCTGAGGCCGGGATCGGTAGGAGAGCGATCTAACAAAGTCGGGATCGCAATATCAATTGACAAAGGTTCGGAGAGAAGCTCGAAGCAACCCATATGCCTAAGTCAGAAGGAGAAGAGGGAGAAAAGGGAGAAGAGGGAGAAGAGGGAAAAGAGGGAGAAGAGGGAGAAGAGCGAGAAGAGGGAGAAGAGGAGGGAGAAGAGGAGGGAGAAGAGGGAGAAGAGGGAGAAGAGGGAGAAGAGGGAGAAGAGGGAGAAAAGGAGGAGGAGAAAACGATCTAACAAAGTCGGGATCGCAATAGCAATTGACAAAGGTTTGGCGAAGAGGTCGAAGCAACCCATATGCCTAAAGCCAGAAGGAGAAGAGGGAGAAGAGGGAGAAGAGGAAGGTAGAAGAAAGAACGGAGAAGAAGATGGGATCATGACAGGAGATCTAACAAGTAGGATGGAGACAAAAAAAGAGCAGGACAGGTGCCACCAGATGGGAGGAGAAAGGAGAGAAAACAGATGAAGAGAGGGATATACACGATGATGAAAGCGCCGAATTTGCACACCAGAATAAATTGTGGAAGCTCGACGATCCGTGCCATACTGGCGAAGTCCCTATGGAATGTTTCGTCCTTGTGGGAGGCCGGGTCCCACTTGCACGGTTTTTTTTTTTTTTTTTTTTCCCGCACCGGCCATGCTAACCTTCCCCGTATCGTCCTAATTTAACGGTATATATAACAAAATAAATAAATCAATCGAAGTATGATTCGCACGCGTTCTTTGTCACTGGACGTTGATCTCCGTCGGAATTTTAATGTGCGCGAACTGCGTAGTCAGATCCGGCCCCAGTTAGGTTCTTTTTTTTCCGTTTTTTGTTTTTTACCCGCCCGCACTTCCTCCCCATCTCCGGGTGCAACCTGCTCTCTCTCTCTCTCTCTCTCTCTCTCTCTCTCTCTCTCTCTCTCTCTCCGGACCCAGTTAGGTGGGTTTTTTGTTTTTTCCCCCCACCTCCTCTCGTTCCCACCCGCGCTCCCTCCTCATCTCCCGGCGCAACCCGCTCTCTCTCTCTCTCTCTCTCTCTCTCTCTCTCTCTCTCTCCCCCCGCTCGTAAATCCCTCTTTTCCTTTTCTGCGTGATTGGGAACGAAAGGCGAACCTTAATGACGGGGAATCAACAGGCGTTCCGATCCCTTATACTGTTTCCCTTAACCCTATATCCTACCTTATCCAAAATCCTCTTCTTTTTTCTTTTCTTTTGTTTTCTTTTGTTTTGATTTCTTCCTTCCTTAATAGAGTGTCCTACCTTATCCGAAATCCTGCCATACAGAAATTTCTCGGATCTACTTTTCATTCTAGCCCAATCGAACTCTCCTCCACCCTACCCCTACTCTTCCCCCCCCCCCAAGAAATCCTGCCATACAGTAATCATAATAGAGTGTCCTACCTTATCTGAAACCCCTTATCCGAACACATACCCCCAATGAAATGATCATTTTCTGTTTCCCATGCTCGAAAGCAAGTGTGTGGGCCATTGCTTTCTTCCTTCCTTCCGTCCTTCTCTCTCGTCGGTACCCTTCTTCCTTGCTTTCTCTCTATCCCGTTCCCTCTCCCAACCCCATCCTCCGCGCCCCCCCCTCTTCCCCCCCCCCCCCCTCTTTCTCTTTCGTCCTTGAACCCTAGATTACCCTACCGTCTTCCCCCGAACACAACGCACCTTGATTTTAAGTGTATACGGGATGTCTTTCCGGTCTGATACGGTCGGGATCAGGGTGCGTTATGTTCGGGGGAAGACGATAGTAGTTTGGGCTGGCCTTCTCCACCTTATTAAGTACCTGAAGCGTATTAGTATTCGCATTGTGAAAGGGAAAAAAAAAAAAAAAAGCAGTCTCGTTGTCCATGCTGCGTCAGGTTTCACTCTCATCCACTCGTGTGATGTGGAAAGTGAAGCAGAAAAAATGTCTGATCTGATGTGAAAACGGAACAGTAAAAAAAAAAAAAAAAAAAAAAAAAACGGAACAGTGATGCGTGAGGTTTCACTCTCAGCCAGTCGTCTGATGTGAAAACTGAAGCAGGAAAATGTCTGATCTGATGTGAAAACGGAACAGGGACCGTTATTTGGATCCAAGCAATCCAACTGTCATCAAACGGTGTGACCTTTTTATAACAGAAAAAAAAAAAAAAGGTGTGACCGTTTGATGCCCTTACCGTTGTATATCAATCAGCACGCAACAAGGAAATCCCATCTCAATCTCTTTTTTATTTTTATTTATTTTTTTAATAGAGTTCCGACCGTCATCTTCGTCTTTTTTTTTTCTTTTTTCTTTTTTTTTTATAGTTCCGACGTCGTCTTCAGAGGAGAGGCGCTATGCTATGTTTTTCCTTTGCCCGTCGTCTGGGTTTCGCTAAGGTAGTATACCGTCTTCAATGGAATAAGACGCCCCGCAATTCGATCTGTACTTGGGGCAACCTTCAGGCCAGATTCAGCAATGATGACAGGGCGTTCGATTAGGGCGAAGAGGCTAGCAGGGCATGCATGCATAGAGTGTATCGTTAGTGTCAATAGTCTTTTTTTTTTTTTTTGCACCCTTCCTCTCGCCAACAATTATTGTACATTTTGAGTCACTGCAGCAGGTTCGAAATTCTCAAAAAAAAAAAAAAAAAAAATCACCCTCTGAATGTCCTCCACCGCATTACGAGACTGCATTCCTGCTGCCCTAAAGCACGTTGATCAGCAACACCCCACCACATCACAATATTTGAATGTTGTTTAGGATAATAACACAGAAAAATCCTGCTTTTTAAAAAATAATTAAAAAATTTCAGGTTGAATCTGTCTGACGACATATATACACTTAAACAAAAAAAAACTTTAATTTTTATTTTAAATTTGGTAAAGAATTTCGATGTGACCCTGAGGCAAACGTTGGTCGGTTTCTTTTTCTGCACAACATAGTTTTTTTCGTTTTTTTTTTGCTGGGACCTTCCCTGGTCCTTGCACGGCCGGGCCCCGGGCGGCCCGGCTGGTAGCCTAGTATATACTAATTCTTGAATCTTTCTCATCAACGAATTCTTGACAATGTTGCTAATGCCGTTGATGAGGCGCATGCCTACGCTCTTGCACAGGTACGGTAGCATACACAGACACGCTCATCGGGTGTTGCTCTTCGTATGCTGGTCCGTGGACCCCGTGCAGGGGAATGGACTACGGATACGGGACCTGACACTCT